CAGAAGTTTTTTTTAAAATAGACGTCTGCCATTGAGTTGACTCTGACTCACGGCAACTTTATGTACATCGGGAGGAAACATTACTGAGTCCTGCACCATCCTCGCAATTGCCAGCAAGTTTGAGTCCATCATTACAACCCTTGTGTCAATCCATCTCCCTGAGGGTCTCCCTCACCCCTGCTGGTCCTCCTCCAGCGATTGCTCCCTCCTGATGACGTGTCCAAAGCAAGCGAATCAAACAATGTTCTGTTGTGATCCATAATGTTTTCACTGGCTAATTTTTGGAAGTAGATTGCCAGGCCTTTCTTCCTAGTCTTAGTCTGGAAGCTCTGCTGAAACCTGTCCACCATGGGTGACCCTGCTGATATTTGAAATATCGGTGGCATAGCTTCCAGCATCACAGCAACACGCAGGCCACCACAGTATGACAAACAGACGAGTGGTGACTTTTTTTGAATACTCATGCATTAAGTTATTATACTCAACAGAACTTGAGTTGAATGAGCAGCAGCCCAGGGCCTTGGGGTCTAGCTTCTCTGCTTCTGACTAGAGCAACAAATCCCATCCTCGGCTTCCCATAACCGGGCTTCAGTTTCCTTGCCTCTGTAACAAAGAGACTGGACTAGAATGATCTGTAAAATTCCTTTGTGAATTAATCTAATAAAAACAATCAGAAGTGTTTTGCTATTTTAATTAAGTATTGTTTTGAAACGGAAAACCCAACCAACAGCTGATACAGGCTCATTCAAAGCACCTGTAATCCCGCAGACACTGACAATCTTCTGGCATTTGGAGAACCAAGGCCACAAAACAGGCTTCGAGTGGAAGCATCACCCGCATCTGCTGCTTAGTTAGCAGTTGGGGACTGGCAGGTGGCAGGTCTTGAGGACAGGCTCGAGTTAGCTCATGCAATTCTGAATAAAGCTAAAACACAGGCACACAAACTCTCTGTTTAACAAGACCTCTGATCACCAGTGCTTCGTCAAGAATCTGAATTATTAAAATGCGTTATTGATTTTTTTGTCATTGCTTGAGTTGCTTTCAGTTAAAAATCCACGTGTCCGACTGGAGTTCTTTCATTTTCTCCCGTTCTCCTCTTCTGTCCCCCCAGTCACTGTAGCCCCTCAGCAAAGGCATAACTAGCCAGAACTTAAATTAGCCGGGGCTGGATGTAAGCCAGGGAGCAGGCTGAGCAAAACCTCAGGCCACCAGGCCACCAGAGGCGTTTCCACGGCAACAGTCTGGCGCAGCGCTCTGAAGGAAGGCCCGGGAGGGCCTGGTTCTGCCTGGTTCTGCCGAGGGGCTGAAGAGGGCCGGTGAGGGGTACGGCAGTCTGTGAGTGAGGAGACTTCGGCTCTAGCCTTGTTTTTACTTTTTCTTTGTAAGGATAAGACTTATTCATATTTATTTTCTCTAGCTCTGAAGTGGAGATTTGAATTTAATTACTTGTGGTCGCCCAGAAAAAAAAAAAAAAAAAAACCAAACCCATTGCCGTTGAGTTGATTCCGGCTCATAGCGACCCTATAGGACCGAGTAGAACTGCCCCAGAGGGTTTCCAAGGAGCAGCTGGTGGATTTGAACTGCCTACCTTTTGGTTAGCAGACAAATGCTTAAAGCACTGCGCCCCCAGGGCTCCTAGTGATGGGCAGTTAAAGGCATATTTCAGACACAGACCAGCAGCCTGAGGATCACGGGATGATGGTTCCATGACTAAGGACTAACACAGAATTCTCACAGGAAAAAGAAATAATTTTTGTCAGTAAATGGTGGAAGGATTAACATGAGCCAAGAGGCTGAGGCAGAGAAAAGGGTGAGGGAGAGCCCCCAGCCGGAATAGCCCAATCTTCCTCCAATGCTTTTCTTATCGTTCGTGTGACTATAAAATGTATTGTCTAAACCAGGGCACATTAGAGAGTGAACGGGGGACCTTTGAATAATTAAGCCGTGATGACAGATGTAGAGTGTCTCAGGCAAACCAGGACGGACGTCATCCGACCTTTCGTGCCTCACCCCACAGAGTTCTTTGAACAAAGGTTTCCTCAGTTAACAGAGTCTGGAAACCACTGGGCTCCAGTGGTCAAGATTCCAGGTCATCTGAGGAGATTGTCAGTCAGGTGGGAGTGGAGTAGGGGGAGTGAAGAAATGTGGAAGCGTTTGGATAGCTCAGGGAAATCTGACAGAGAATCAAAACGAAGTAACGTGAAGGATTTTCAGGCAGTGGCTTCTGTTAGAGAGCGTGCCGTGTGGTGGCCCAGTCAGTGGTTTTGAGACTTCACCCAGTAAAGAAGGCACAGTAACCATGATTTACATCTGAGCACGCGCCATAGACGTTAAATGTTTGTCTACCACATGAAAGGTTGGCAGTTCGAACCCACCCAGAGGCACCTCAGAAGACAGACCTAGCGATCTGCTTCTGAAAGGTCATAGCCTTGAAAACCCTGTGGAGCAGTTCCATTCTGCACACACGGGGTCGCCACGAGTCAGAATCAACTTGATGGCAACTAACAACAGTAATACATAGGAGTCCCTGGGGGGTGCAAACAGAGGTGCCTCAGAAGAAAGGCCTGGTGATCTACTTTGAAAATTCAGTTCTTGAAAACCCTGTGGAGCACAGTTACACTCTGACACACTTGGGGTTGCCGTGAGTTGGAATTGACTAGATGGCAACTGGTTAGTAATAAGGTTTCTGGGGGAAAAATAACTCCAACACAATAAACATGAAAAAAAATTGGTTTATGATTACTCCTGTTTCCTAAAGAAATTCACTAAAGGTGAACATGAATACGCTTAGGAAACATGTTTCTTGTTATCCTCAAAGAAATAAGCTGAGTTTACCACAGCAAGGCTGCCCTGTTATGCTAGTAAATATAATTACCTCGGATGTAAATGTGTTTGTTCTTTAACCAGATGAAGCTTCCTAAAGAAAAAACTTTCAAACTTTACCAAATACCTGAGAAATATATTTTTATTGAAGAAAAATGAGAAGTTACAGATAACTGAAATGAAGATAATAAAATCACTTGTAATCCATAAAGAAGCGCTATTAACAGTTTAGTAGATATCCTTCCACAGTATTTCCTATGCATTTTATTTATAAATATGATTTTATTGATATATATAATGACAACTTGCTCTGCATATTATTTTGTGACTACTTTATTCATTTGACAATATATTATGAACTGTTTTCCAAGTCAACAAGTATGCTTTTGCAATGTTGTTTTAGTGACTATACAGTACTTCAAAGTATGGAAGACTTTATTTAACCAAACTCCTGGCTTTATGTACGAGGTTGTTTCCAGATTTTGGATATTATAAACAATGTCGTATCGATCGTCTTGTGATCTTGGTACACATAAAATAAATGAATCAGGAATGTGTGATTTTAGTAGGATATCTGAGATCTGTTAAATCTGGGTTCTGTTTATGATTCCATTATGGATGAATTGACAATAAAAATCAAAGAGGAGGCCTAGGTTTTAATTCTAGCCCAGCTGTTTAACTCTGAGCACATCGCTTAACCTCTCTGTGCTTTTAGTTTTCTTATTTGTAACGTTCATATTTTACAGAAAAACCCAAAACAGAACAGTTACCATTGAGTCAGCTCCGACTCACGGCGTCCCCACGTGTGTCAGAGTCGAACTGTGCTCCATCGGGTCTTCAACGGCTGACGTTTCGGAAGTAGACAGCCAGGCTTTTCCTCTGGGTGGACTCGAACTTCCAGTTTTTCAGTTAGCAGCAGAGACCCCGTTACAAATTAGAGACAATAAAACCGCCCCTTGAACTAAATTACTGTAAGGGTTAGGTGAGGCAAGGGTGTGAAAAACCATTTTAAGTTATGAAGCAGTTTGCTTTTATCAGAATTTATTATTTTCTTTTCAAAATGCTATTTAAAAAATTCCGTTAAATCGACTAAGAAGATTTCCCATTTTTTGACGTCCTCCAAGATAAATGATTTTGCTTTATGAGCCACCGAACAAATGCGGGGAGTTTGAAGCTGCGGTGCCTGAATCCGCACTCCAGGGAGAAGCCGCTGGAGTGTCTGAGGCTGGGCCGACGGCCTGGCTGTTTTCTGAGTCACCACCGACTGAGGCCAGAGGGAGCAAGAGGCTCGTGCAGGTTCCATGGATGACAGAAGTAATCCTTGCGGTGTTAGCCAGGTGGGGGCAGATGGTTCCTATCTCCGGAGGCTAACTCTGACCCCTCACTCCCTCTTGCACCCTCCCTGGTGCTCCCATCCGCCAGGGGTCAGGGCAAAAGGCCACCCTGAAACCGGCAAGTGATTTGGGCCTGATCCTGTCCAGCCTGAAGGAGACAGGGGCCAACCTGCCGTCAGAGATACACTGCCATGGAGCAGGAGCCTGGAGAAAATATGTTAGTACAGAATCCTGGGAATCCCAGCCACCGTTGGGAGAGGGCCCGACGTGGGTGAGTAGGGGCTGTGAATGGAAATTTGAAACCTGAGTTAACCCCGAAGAGATAATCCTACAGCTGGAAACCCAGCATGGGTCCATGTGCCTGTCACTCACCAGGACGGTGGAGAAGCAGTAGGGGAAATTCTGTTCACCAAACACAAAGGTTCTAGAGTTTTCCTTTCCTCTGGCCCTTGTCCACAGGCCATCGGTACATAACTCCAGTGGGGAGGGGACTCAGAAGCACCACTGACAAGGTGTTCAGTGGGAATGGACACTTTCCCTTCTCCCTGCCTATCTGGAGAGGCCCCAGGGACAACCTCCTTTTTTAGCTGCCTTTGAGTCAGGCCCTAAATCTTGGCAACCCCATGCACCATGGAATGAAACACTGCCCAGTCCTGCCCTACCCCATGATTAGTCGCGAATCAGACTGTTGCGATCCACAACGTTTTCATTGGCTGATTTTTGGAAGCAGATCACCAGGCCTTTCTTCCTAGTCTGCCGTAGTCTGGAGACTTCTGAAACCTGTTCAGCATCACAGCAAGATGCCAGCCTCCACTGACGGATGGGTGGTGGCTCTGCATGAGGTGCATTGGCCAGGAATCGAACCAGGGCCTCCTGCATGAAAGGCCAGAGCTCTCCCACTGAACCACCACTGCCCCAGGCCTAGGGGAGAAGCAGGCATACACTAGATGCTCATTTCATGTTCATGGAATGGGTGAGTGAACAGTATTGACCACGGCTAGAGAGAAAAGATTTTACACTTCAAATAAACATGAGAAGTGAGGCTCCTTCTGGAAGCTCCAAGGGCTCCTCTGGATAACGGCTATAGGGACAGCCGGAGCCGCAGAGGAGAGACAAGGTGGCTGCCTGTGGTCGTAGTGGGCAGCCTGTATTAGACCCCTTTTAGGAGCTTCCTTTGTTTGTATAAGGTCCCTGGGTGGTGCAAATGATTTGGGCTCAACTACTAACGTAAAGGTTGGCAGTTCAAACCTACCCAATGGGTGCCGTGGAAGAGAGGCCTGGCAATCTTCTTCCACAAAGATTACAGCCAAGAAACCCCATGAAGCAGCTGTACTGTAACACAAGGGGTGGTCATGAGCTGGAATTGACTGAAGGAAATTTTGTGTGTGTGTATGTATAGGGAACTCTTTGGGGAAGTTCTTTCGGGGAACTCTTTTGAGAAGTGAGGAATAACTGGGGGACAGGAAAGATGTGAGGACCTGCAATTATGTGGGGGGAGGGTGCAGGATCCTGGCAACCTGAATTGTCAGTGTAAGGGTGACCTCGGTGGGATCCCAGCTGGTCAGAATGTGCGGGTGATGTACCTGTCTCTGTAATAACTGGTTATCTTTAGACCTTTGTTACCGAGGGTGTTGGTTTGTCTAGAACTTCTGTGTTCATTTTTTTTTAAACAAGGATGTGTTTTATAATGAGAAAAAAAGTACTTAATGAGCTTATTTCCATTTTGAAAACAAAACCGGGGCAAGAATCAAGGCTCAGCTGCGTTGGAATGTTGGGGGCTGGTGGGGCCCAGGCCGCAGCTTGGCTCGTGGGCTGGGCATAACGCAAGGCAAAGAACGTCAAGTCCGAAGTCGGAAGATGGGCTTCTGTTTCTGCCCTGCTTCCTTCCGTCAGGAGACAGCCGTCTCTCGAGTCTCGTCCTCTGTGAAATGACAGGAGCCAGGATTCCCCCCCGGCAGAGTTGTTGAGAGGCTTAAATGAAAATACCCCGTAAAACTCACTTTGTAAATTGCCATATAAGTGCTAATGGCGGTAATTTTAGAGTACTCGGTAGCAAACAGGTGCTCTTTTCCCATGCTGAGGATGGAATACCCGTGGCATCTCCCCTTAGACCTCATCTCTCAAACATAATAATGGCTGATGTGTAGTATCAATGCAAACGGTCAATGAGCTGGCTTGCTCAGAGTTCTTTAAAAATTTTAGATTGTATTTATGCTGTGTCTTTCTTCATCCTAGCTGTCTGAGTCAGGGTTCTCTCTATATACGTATCTACGTACGGAGGGAGCCCTAGCGGTGTAGTGGTGAAGAGCTCGGCTGCTAACCAAAAGGTCAGCAATTCGAATCCACCAGTCACTTCTTGGAAACTCTATGGGGCAGTTTTACTCTGTCCTATAGGGTTGCATATATGGAGAGAGAGAGAGATTTACTTGAAGAAATTGGCTCATGGATTGCGGGGGGCTGACAAGTGCAAAATTCATAGGTCAGGAATAGGCTGGAGACTCCTGCCGGTTTGCATCCCATGGTCCCTAGGTTAGGTGACCGAAGAGTGTGGGGTAAAGGTCTGTCACAATACCTGTTTATAGCCTGGAGGCAGACCATACCCTGGGGAAACTCTCTTTTCATCGGATGCATTGATTACATTAGATTACATTGGTTAAGCACTCAGTTGCTAACTGAAAGGTTGGTGGTTCGAACCCACCAGCTGCTCTGTGGGGGAAAGATGTGGCAGTCTGCTTCCGTAGAGATTACAGCTTTGGAAACCCTGTGGGGCAGGTCTGCTCTGTCCTGTAGAGTTGCTATGAGTTGGAATCCACTTAACTGCAAAGGGTTACACATGGAAAGTAATTACATTACAATTTACATTAGATCGCGTTATCAAACAGCAATTAGATTAGTGTTTGGCCAAACAACCAGGAACTACAGTCTGGCCAAGCTGTCACATACAATTAACCATCACCCAGCCGTCCTGTCTCCAGGGGCGAGAAGGCACAGGCAGCGTTTCTGTGTAGAGTGTATCATGGTGGGGGAGAAAGAGCCCGACCCCCATGTTCTGTAAAGTGTCAGAGGACAATGAACGGCTCCCTCACTGGCTAAGAGACCCGGGGCTCCTCCCAAGCTGCCGGCATCCATATTGAAACACAAGATGGCGGGGCCATATCACGAGCCTTGTCTCTGCCAGCAAACCTTGGAGTCGTGGTCAGCCTGGGAAGTTTAATGACCTCTAGTCGAGCAAGCCTGGATTATTCTGAAGGCTTTCCAAAGACAGAGGGGAAAAGTAAATTTACTTCTATAAAGGAGAAAAATTCCCCAGCAACCCCTCGCCAGCTGAGCCCTTTCTTCCTCTCTTTTCTAGCTTCTTGAGTCCTGTAACTTCCTAAGCCCTGTGGAAGGCCAGTTTACATTTCCTAACAAAGGGTGATTTGTATCCTTTTGCTACAAGAGAAAGGAGGGAGGGGAGGGAGCGAGGCTCAGGGTTCAGGTTTTTATGTCTGCAGAATTCGAAGTTCCTGCTGGTGAAGCAGCTGCCGTGGTCGGTGGGCTGAAGAAACACCACACTTAACAGGGGACCCAAGCTTGAGAAGGGGGAGTGTTGACATGTCGTGGGGTTGGTAGCCAATGTCACAAAACAATATGTGTACGAATTGTTTAATGAGAAGCTAATTTGTTCTGTCAACCTTTATCTAATGTACAATTAAAAAAAAAAAAAAAAAACCAACTTAGATATAACTTAAAGCCTAACCCTAGCCTTAACCAAAAAACAAGACCAGTAACACCACACGGAGAGAGAGCTCACGAAGCTGTTGGGGCCAGAGCTGGGTCGTGATATGCTGAGTGGACTAAAGAGTTCTGTCAAAAGCCTGGGCGAAGGTTCTGACCTCATTAGTCTGGATGGAAGGAAGAATAGCAAGATGGACAACTTTCGGCAGCTAGCTTTATTTCCCTTTGTCTCCAGCTGTATGCATATGCAGCATATTCATCTATGTTTTGGTTTATAAACGGGACAGTTTCATGTGCTCTATTAGATTTAAAAGCTTTTATTGAGCACCTGCTATATGCCCGGAGCCCTGGTGGTGCAGTGGTTTAAGCATCTGACTGCTAACCAAAAGGTCAGCAGTTTGAATCCACCAGCAGCTCCTTCGAAAGCCTGTGGGCAGTTGTCCTCTGTCCTCTAGGGTCGCTGTGAGTCAGAATCGGACTCCATCTGGTTTGGTTTACTGTATGCCCAACTCCTAACTGCGTACTGCAGGGGGCGCCAAAGACACGTAGCATCAAGAGCAGTGTGGTGCGTGGAAGGAGCATGTCCTAGCTCAACCGCCTCGTGACCCTGCACAGACTACTTAATATCCTTGAGTCTCAGCTCCCTTGTCTGTAAGGTGAGATAACATATGTAAATGTCCTGATTAAAGTCCTTTGAGTTACAAGTAACAAAACCCACTTGAAGCAAATTTAACCAAGAAAGGGAATTTCTTGGAAGGAAGTTGGAGTCTCTCATGGAATTCACTGAAGAGTTAAGGATGGGGTCCCCAGGGAAGACAGGGACCAGGGCTGCTCTGGGGATCTCAGCAGCAGGAGTGTCTTCACCCTAAAATCTCCACTAACAAGATTCTGCCCCCAGTGCCCGCTCTCCGTGACTCTCTTGGTTCCAGCTCTTGAGATAAAGAGTCACTTGGCTCTGGTAGCTCTGGGCGGAGGGGCAGGGTCTCAGTCTAGAAGCGTGGGGTGACGTGGAGAGTGGATGCCCACCAAGAGGCTTGTGGGAGCTGGGCAGACACCCCCAAAGGTGTCTACTAATGACTCTAGCTCCGTGATGGGAAATCACAGGTCCGTTTCAAATTTGGAAAACTTGGTGGCAGAGTGGTTGAGAGCTACGGCAGCTAACCAAAAGGTTGGCGGCTCAAACCCACCAGGTGCTCCCTGGCAACCGTATGGACAGTTCTACTCTGTCCTACAGGGTTGCTCTGGGGTCACTAAAGGTCGGAATCGACTTGACGGCAGCAAGTTTGGTTTTTTTGATTTTCAAATGTTGCTCCTTTTCTTTTCTCCTTGCAAAACACCAGCTCTCTGTCATCAAGGAACTTATCCTCCAAAAGGAAACAAAGCCAGAGCTGTGTGAGCGTGTTAGGTGTTCATAGCTCTGGTCGGGGTTGTGCTGCTGCTTGCCAGCTGGGCCAGAGACGACACCTTCAAGGCAGTTTCTCAGGTACAAAATGGCGGTGGCTCATGGGTCGGTGATTCAATGACTCCAAGCCTTGCATGGGTTAACAGCAGAGTGTCAAAGGCGGCAGCAAGAAATTAGTGCTGGCTAGAGTTACTGGGAACGGTTTGTGTTTGCTCAGAATGGAGTGTTTCCCATAATCTTTGTTTGGGCTGGAGCCAGCCGTCATCCATAACTGGCTGACTTTTTTTTTTGGTCAAAAGCAGCTCATCTTCTCTTTCTCCTGGCCAAAGAGAGTCTGCCCTTCAGAGCCAAAGCAGCACACGTTTTCAGGGAAGTCTCAGAGAAAGGCACTTTCTGCTCCTTTTCCTCGTCGTCACTCTGTCTGTCCTGGCTCCGGCCCTCGGCAGAGGCTGCTGGGGGCTCTGCTCAGCTCCAGCTGCCGTCCTCGATGATCTGAAGACCAGTTACTGCGAGGAAAGGGTCAAAGTGAAGGGTTAGAACACAAGTCAGACAGCCCAGCAAAGAGAAGAGAGACTTCCTCGTCACTGAGGTCAGGAGTGTGTTTCTCAGGAAGTTCCCACAAGGACGCTGCCCTGACTTCCTGTTTACTGTTCACTTGGATGAATCTTGGGGGTTTTACTTTACACAAGAAACCTTTTGTTGGGGTGTGAGGGACTCAACAAATCATACTGTCTTCTCCTTGACTGAATCCTGAAGCAACTGAATGATAAGATAAAAGGGAAGGAGACCGTGTCT